CATGGACGCCATGCAAACCCAGGACGAATCCACCTGCCCCGTTGATGACATCACTCAGCAGACACCATGTGAGCTGTATATTCCTTTCAAGAACTTATCAATAAAGGTAAGCTTGTAGTTTATAGATTTTAGATTTGGCCAATCCGCTAGTTGCTGCTTATATATGTTGATTACTAATAAATAACCTCTCACCACATGAAGGTGGCGTCGGGCATGGCCATCCCAACAGACCTTTCAGGTACTTACCACTGCAGGCCGATTCCAGCAGGATACTCCAAGGTCGAACTTGAGTTGGTCGAAGGCGCGTACGAGGACCTCAAGCTGGATTACCCTAGAGGAGACGGTGAGACGCATCTACGAGACACAAGCCACGCCATTATTCTATGGCGCAAGCGGTACATCATCCTCCCTGGGCGACAAGCGGCGTCTCGTGCACCATCTCCTCCGGCTCCGCCATCTCCTCCTCAGGCTCCTGCACCGACTCCTCCTCAGGCTCCTGCACCGACTCCTCCGCAAGTTCCTCTTCCGGCACCTTCCAAGTCAAGGGCCTCCCAAGCTCCACCGCCTGCCCCCACAAGGGCAACGAAGAAGGCGAAAGTTGACGCCGCCAAGAACAAGGACCCGGGGTACGATTGCACGCAAGAGGAGCTTGACGCTTACGTGGCATCAGAAGTCAAGAGACAATTCAAGCCTCGAAGTCTAGTAAAGAAGATTCCTTTAGACCCGAGTGTCAGGAACTTCTTCAGGGGTATGTCTGCACCTGCCAAGGAGGCCATAAAGCTATCGGACTATGAGCGAACGCTTAAGAAAGCATCTTCTGGAAGTCCAAACCAGTCCCTCAGCTTGGAGAGCAACCAAACCAGGAGATCGAGCTGTTGGTGACCGGTGAAGATTTTGGAATACAAGAATTTATTAATGACACCGGGCTAACTACGGATCAATTGCTAGGAGACGCACCAATCGAAAAGGCGGAAGTGAAATACATCTACGAACTCGGTAAACCGCTTGTCAAGCCTGAGCTGCTGCAGTCCCTACCCACACAAATGTACAAGTTCCATCAGCTGTACATGGAGATGAGCGCCACCGGTAGAGAGATGATCGGAGCGAGGATCAGGGACACGGACTTCTTGCAAGGATATGACATTCTCTGGATCAATTTCAAGGGAATCTACGAACTATACTAGCTGGACGCCCTCGACGTCTCTATTATGAGTTGCTGGATTTTGTAAGTATATCGTTCAATTAGATTTCTTACTACATCTCCTTTAAGTAATTAGGTCCTTGTATATAAGTAGACTATATATAATATATACTCCCCTTATCGTTGTAGAATGGAGATTCAAAGGGCCCGACGGCGGGGGGTTTTCGATACTGGATTCATCGACCCTCGGAAAGTAAAAGTCGCAATGCTCGACGAATATCCGCAAGCCACAGAGGACAATCTCGTCCATCTCCTGAAGGCGTAGCATTACAAGACGTTCATACTGTTGCCGTACAACACAGAGTTAGTTTAATTTTATTGTCTTCCTATACCAAATTTCATTCCCGTACGAACTTGCTAAGTGTTTCATATGTAATGCATCCCACGCAGATTGTAGATTCCACTGGGTGCTTTTACACTTCGACCTGGAGGCCTGCACCGTCAACGTATATGACTCAATGGATAAAAAAGAGTCTACGTTTGATAAGGTTTTCGAACTTATAGACAGGTACTGTCATAAGTTCCTATGTTAGTTAAGAAAATCTTGTTATGTTAATTGCTACTACGAATCATAGCTTTAAACTCCATGTAGAGCTTGGTATCGGTTCCGTCATTTAGTCCGCGGCAACTGGAGAGAAAGACTTAGGCGGAAGTTTAAATTTCCTGTGAGTACACATGCTCTACATTTATATTTCTCCGATTAAAATACATACAAGTGTATATTAATTAGATCTCTCGTCGTTTGTCTTTTATTTATAGTGCGCAAAGCAAAAGCAGGGAACTAACTTGTGCGGCTACTACGTGTGCGAGTATTGCCACTGCCTTGCAGACCAAATCATCACCACAAGAGAGCTCGATGTACGTACAAATAAATTCAAAATTTCATTACGTATCGATTTGTTGTTTAATTACTAATCAATTTCATACATTCATATAGTTTATTCGCATGAGGGATAACCTGATCACACACAAGGAATTTATCGCGGTGGTTCAAGAACAACTCATGGGATTCATCAACGAACAAATCCTTAATCCCAAGGGTGAATTCTACTAGGACGGAAACACAATTCATAGGTTCTTAGCTTTTGAGCTAGCGACTACTACTACGTCGAAATCGTAGCTAGCTAGAACATATAATGGATTGTAATTAATACATGACTATGTTTTTATATGCATGTATACACATTTTCTATAATGTAAATATATATTTTGGTCATATATATATATATATATATATGCATTTGCATAACATATATATTATACATCTACATATGTATTGAAACATATATAAATATAATATAATATATATATATATGCATGGTTTATATATATATATATATATATATATATATATATATATATATATATATATATATATATATATAAACCATGCAACAACAGGGCCATGAAAAAAAAAAAGGTCAGCTCGATCTTTAGTCCCGGTTGATAACACCAACCGGGAGAAAAGATGGCTCAGCCGGCCACGTGGCTGACCCATACCAACCGGGACTAAATATCGATCTTTAGTCCCGGTTATTTCACCCGGGACTAAAATAGCAATCTTTAGTCCCGGATTGGTAGTCCCGGTTTAGAAACCGGGATTAAAGGGGGGTTACGAACCGGGACTACAAACGCTTTCTCCACCAGTGACACCTTCTCCTTGCTGACCTGCACCTCCGACGGCGCGCGGCGCTGTCTGGCGGACACGACGCGGCAGGCGGAGAGGCGCCCGTCATCGTCGTCGCTATGATGGAGGCCGACCCACGAGCCGAGCTCGCCGTCGTAGTGGCCGTGGCCGACGAACGGCAGCATCCATCCCCCGCGGCGCGTCCACGCGCCGCTCTCGACGCTGTAGGAGAAGGTACCCTCGTCGTCCACGGCGCCGGGCACGCGGCGGAACAGCTTCCGCACGGACACGAAGAAGGTCCGTCCTTCCGGGTGGACGGCGTACGCCTCGATTTTGCCGGTGATGGCGTCGAACGGGAGACGGGACGGGTCGTAGCTCCACGAGATGGGCGTGGAGGCGTCCGGGTGCCGCCATGACCACCGCTCTTTCTTCTTCCTCGAACCGTCGTCGTCGGTCAGTCTAAAGCAGTGCATGCCTCCAACGACTCCGTCATGGTAGTCGTCCACCGTGGTCGCATCGAACACGTACAGCCTGTTGTCGCCGGCGGCAATGGCGGCCACGTAGTGGGAGACACCAACAACAAGGCCTTCCGGGAGGTGGCGCACGACGGTGAGCGCCGCCGTCTTGGTGTCGTAGACAAGGGTGTTCCCTCTGGCTTCGGGACAACAATCGCTGTCGTAATAATCATCGCTGAAATACTCGCCCATGGTGACGATGCTGCTGCCGACGGTGGTGAACTTGGAGCATGGGTGGACTGTGGGGCTCTGCAGCCGGAGGAGCGGCGGCTCGGGGAGCCGCGGGAGGGTCTTCGGTGAAGCCATGCCGCCGCCGGCGTTCATCAGGTGGCCGTTGTCGACGCCACCGCTACCGCCGTCGATGTCCAGCTTGTGGATGGCGCACGCGTCCTTCCGGTCAGTCAGCACGACGTACAGATGCTGCTTCGCCTTCGCCTTCGCCGCCGGTGAACGCCGCCGCCTCCTGCTGTCAGCTCGAGGTGCCGCGATGTCGGCGGCGGCGGCGGCGTTGGTGGCATCGGAGGAGGAGGCGTAGCCCCGTGAGCCAATCAGGCGGAGGAGGCGAAGAACCGCCTTGTCGTCGTCGGTCGCGTCGTGGCCACGGCGCCGGAGATGGGAGAGGAGAGTGCGGCGAGGCTGGAGAAGAATCGGCCGCCACATTTTGTCTCTGCGGACGCTAGCTTTAGGGTTACGTACGTTGGTTCAGCTGCACCTGCACGACACCATTGGATGGATCCATCCTTGTTTTGTATATGGGCCATCGATACCATCTCGATCCGTTCTTCCTGGGAAAAAGTACACCGAAGGTCTCTCAACTTATCATCGAGTTACAAAATCGTCCCCCAACCGCAAAACCGGATACAACGCATCCCCAAATTTACAAAACCGGTGCAAACTAGATGCCTCGGCGGTTTTGACCCGGATTTGCCTGACGTGGCGGCTGAGTCAGCGTGGGACCCACGTGGGCCCCATATGTCAGGATACACGTCGGCAGCCAACCTCTTACTTCCTCTCCTGACCGGGCGCATGGTCGGACCGGCACAGTGGGTCCCATATATAAGTGAATCAAAGGTAAATGGGTGGATTTAACAGAGAAACTAGGCATGGTGGGGCCCGCATGTTTGTGAGACATTAGAGTGAGATTAGGGAAGGATTACTGTGCGGGGTCGGCATCCTGGCGGCGGCGCTCGCCCCGGCGCGCCAGCGGCGGAGAGCGGGGGAGGAGCGGCGGCCTGGGAAGGGTGTCGCCGCGGGGCCGGCGATGGACGGCGCGGTGCAGGACGGCAACCAGCGTCGCAACGGCGGAGGGCGACGGAGCAGAGGGGGCGCGGGAAGGAGTCGACGCGGAGTCGGCAGTCCGCGTCCGCGAGGAGGAGCGCGTGGAGGCCGCCGTCGCGTCGCCCGGCCCGGCGCCGCCGCGTCGCTACGCCACCCCGCCGCCCGTCCCCGGCCTCCCTTTCCTGCCTCGCCCCACCGGCCGGCCCGCACGAGGGGGGCGGGGAGGCCAGTGAGCTCGCGCCGCCACCTCGCGCCGTGGGCGCCCTAGCGTCGGCATCCCCATGCCCCGTGCGAGAGAAGAGAGCAAATGAGCACTGCGACTTGACTGCGATAGATATGCATTAATCGATCTATGCATGCATATGCGACTTGACTTCGAGAGAGGCATTCAGAATTAATCTGTTTAGCACTCATATATAGATATGTGAAGTAAACCAAACACACAACACACCAATTACTTGATGATGTTTGATTAAGCTATTGCTGATATACTACACACAACTGCTAGAGAAAGAGAAATATATATGGCCCTGGCACTTGAACCTCTAAAATTTACCTGTATAAACGTAGTTATAGCTTGGATCGATCTTGCATTATATTGGCTCACCTTTTGTTAATTAATTAATTAGCTCAAGCTGGCTAGCTATAGCTTGTTGATCATATATATCATGTGAGTATATGTGCCCATTAAGCAAGGAATTCATGAAGCTCTAGCTAGAGCTAGTAGGGCGGCGGCGGCGGAGGGCGGGCATGGTGCCATGCAGGTGTAGCAAGCCCGGCGTCGTGCATTCCCCCACCGAACAGTACAGGATCGGCGGCGCCGGCCATGAGTGGCGGCGGCGCCATCATGTGTCCTCCGCCGCCTGCCGCAGCTTCCTCCTCCTCCTGATCGAGCGGCAGCCTCTCGTAGGTGGCGTTGGCGAAGGTGGACGCGATAACCATGACCGGCCCAGCTGCGGTGAGCGTCCCCACCACCTGCCCCTGCCCGCCAGCGAGGTACACGGTCAGTCTGGTGGAGCCGGGCGGCCCCGGCCCCGGCAGGAACGTCCCCGTCAGGGACAGGATCTCGAACCGCCCACGGAGTGCCACCACGGCGCCAGGCGCGGCCGGCTGGCGCAGGGCCACGTCGGTCACGGCGTCGGCCCTACTGAGCACGCAGATGCCGCGCCGCTGCCGCCGCGCGAAGTGCGCTATGGACGTAAGGGTGGAGAAGAGAAGAGAGAAACAGAGAAAGAGAAGAGAGGAAAGAGATGCTAACGTGGACACCTGACACGTGGGTCCCACGCCGACTCAGCCGTCACGTTGGACAAAACCGGGTTCAAAACCACCGAAGGATCTAAAGTTAACGGTTTTGTAAGTTGAGGGATGTCATATGTCTGGTTTTGTGGTTGGGGGACGATTTTGTAACTCCACGACAAGTTGAGGGACCTTCGGTGTACTTTTTCCTTCTTCCTGGGCAGCGTCGGCCATTCCACTCAGGCACAACCGCACAAGCCGGCCCAGTTGTTCATTAATCCCTTATGTTTGCTAATTTGTTTAGAGTAGTATAAAAGTTGTTAAGGAACATAGAAAATAACATCGCCACGTTGAAAAAAAAAGAATTGGGGACTTTAGAGCTTAATTTTAAATTAAATTATATTTTTTATCATTTTATATTTGACGTAAAATATTTCAATATTGTATCATTACTATTACTATGTAATAACTCTATCCTTTTAGAAAAAGAGAGCAGCTCGGAAATGATACCCCGTTCGGACGGGATACTTAAGTAATGACGTCATATTCATGTTAAAATTGACGTCACCTTATACTTACGTGGTACTCCCTAACGTTTTAACTTTTCAAATTTGACTAAGTTACAAATATAATAATATTTATAATGCTAAATTAGTTTTATCAAATCAATAATTGAATATATTTTCATAATAAATTTCTCTTGGGTTCAAAATGTTACTACTTTTTCCCATAAACTTGGTCAAACTTAAAACAATTTGACTTTGACCAAAGTCAAAATGTCTTGTAACCTGAAACGGAGGGAATATCATGTATGATATTTATTGGTACAAAACATGATACCCGAGTATCAGGTCTAATATACTATATCTATCACGTCAATGATGATGTCAATGTATACGTATGTCGGTATGTGGTACCATGTAGTATACTTAATAGTACCAAACATAATACGTGAGCACCAAGTCTTGTACCTATAAGGACCCAGTACAAGACATATATGTACCAGCCGTAGTACATGAGTACCATGTCTGATACCTATAGGTACCAAAATATCATGATGCCACTAAAGTATCATCGCAATAAGAACAAAAAAATCATATATTTATCAAGAGAGAGGTCAATAAAAACCGACAAAATAAATCAATTATAGAAAAAAGTTGCCATAGCTATAAAAACACCCATAGAATATGTAAAAAGCCCCAAATCAAACACCAAAACAAAGCCAACATGAGTGCTTTGGGGTCATGAGCCCAAATCTGTCATACGGATCCACACCTCGAGAGGCCTTGTCCTTCATGTCAGTGATCTCGTCGACGATGGCCACCTCCTAGAATGTGGTGAGTAGCTTCGCCTCCATCATTTGCTTGGCCGGGCACCTACCCCACAAACAGTTTCACGATTTCCTCCTTTACACCCATGCCTCCACCACCAGCAGCGACGGCGGTGACGGTAGCTTTCTCCACGCCCAACACACCTCCCTGCATGGCCAGCCACTACCATTGCCTCCGTGCACATGATAGTTGAAGAGAGAGAGAGGAGGAGGAAAGGGGAAGAGATAACATAGAGGATAAGATTGAATAGGTGGTGTGAGGATAACATAGGCCGGATAAGATTGAATAGATATTTACGAGTATTGGTAGTTATTCTGTATTTACAGGACTCCGTTCCTTAGATTTCCTGTTAAGAAAACTTGCATCATCAGCCGTTCATAAATTCTACTGTATATTTGGTTTTATATATAAGAGGGAAATACATGTGGGACCCACATGTCATAGTTTTAAGAGTTAACATTCCATTATTCACATTCAAAGTACATATGCTTTTCGAAGAAAGTCACCCACCGTTAGGAATCGACTTAAACATAGTAAGAAAATAAATTTAGAGGAGGAAGACTAAAATACCTATATGGGATTGAAATCTCTGGGCGCTCGCTGTCTTGACTTCAACCAGAACACTCAAAGCATGTACGCTAGGGAGGGTTCGAATAATGGCGGCGGCGGCGGCAGAGGCGTACGTGCGGCAGCTGCCAGCACAGGTGCAGAGGGAAGCGTACGAGTGGCGAGGAGATTGCTCTCGATCGGCGGAGGAAGGCCTGCAGCGAGGAGCCGATCGAGGAGAGAGCTAGCTAGGCATTCGGCACAGGGCTCGGAGGGATGTACGTGTGGGTGCTCACCGTCGTCGGCCGGGTGCAGAGGGTGGTGCAAAAGCTCACCGATGCTACGCGCGTAGGGAGGCGCCACAAGCACACCTTTGGCGCAGACAAATCCAGCCGCCAGATCCGACGGCTGCGACACCGGCCGTTGAGGCAACGAGAAGCTCTAGGTCTGATGCAGATGTCATCGGTTTAGAATACAAAATACAAATCAACTTGTAGATATTATTTCATATGTATCGAGGGTATTCATCTAATATATGGACCAAAGAGGGACTACTTCTTCTGGATCCAAAATTAATAAAATAAACAAATCATTTTTTTTCAATTTTAAAATAAGGAATAGATCATGTATACATCTAAACAACCCTTTCATAAATCCAAGCAAACTTTTCGTAAATCTAAGCAACCTTTTCGCAAACCCAAACAACCTTTTCGTAGGCGTCCTCGGATTGGCCCGGGGGATCAAATTAATTATAAAAACATGAGTTTAATTAATCGATTTATTGAACAAGGAAAAATATTATCGAGACGAATAAATAGATTAATCTTGAAACAACAACAATTAATTACTCTTGCTATAAAACAGGCTCGTATTTTATCTTTCGTACTATTTCGTAACTAGTTTCAATAATTACAGGTCCTAGACCTAGAAAAAATAGACATATTCCTCAATTAACACAAAAGTTCAATTCCAATGGAAACTTAAGAAACTCTAACTAGACTTTAAGAAACAACAATCGGTACTTAAGTTCCGATTGTTGTTGTTTTATTCGAAAGGGCCAGAGTATATATAAAGAAAGTAATCCAATTTAGATTCTTGGGCTTGTTATAAGAAAGAACAATAGGGAAGAAAAAATAGTTTTTTTTTATTTATTGCAACATGCTGGTTGATTCCTACCACTTAATCTTAATTTATTGTATCTTCCCGGAGTAACTCTCCGGGAATTCTTTTTTAATTATTCTTGTATATTACTTTTTTTATCTCTTTAATTAATAATCTTTATTTTATTGAAATCGTGTAAAGCTTATTTGGATTTAATATAGCTTACTTGTGTAAGGATTTTACGATTAAGAATCCATTCTTTCTTGTAACTCAACGGTGCTTTGCACAGAGGATTATAAAGTGCTAATTACTGTCCAAGTTGATAAACATATCCTTATGTTTGTATTTGAATAGGATCTGTTAGAGTGTGCAGCCCGGCCCACCCTCCGTGGGCCACCCAGGTTTACACATTGGACCTGCTCCACCACATGTCCAACCGGAGCCACAACTTTAGTTCCTAGGCCTACACAACCAAAAAACCTAGTCTGATGGGTGAGGACTGCCCCCACATTTTAAGTCGTGCTCCACACAACCCAAAAGACTAGTCTGATGGGTGAAGACTGCCCCCACCTTTTAAGTCGTGCCCCCACCATCAATTACCGATGTGGGACTAAACACAACAATCTCCTCCGTCACATTAACCCATGTGACCCCGAAGACTTGTTACCTGGCCTCCCCACCATGTAACCCGTGGAAATTGTTCTGGGTTTCATACCTGGGCTTTGATACCACTTGTTAGAGTGCGCAGCCCGACCCACTCTCCGTAGGCCACCCAGGTCATATTGGGCCTGCTCCACCATGGGTCCAACCGGAGCCACAACTTTAGGTTCTAGGCCTACACAACCTAAAAGACTAGTCTGATGGGTGAGGACTGCCCCCATCTTTTAAGTTATGCTCCCCTATCATCAATTACTGATGTGGTACTAAACCCAACAAGATCAAATGAGTAAACTTTAAAAAGTCAATGTTTGTCTCAACAATGCAATAGACCCTCTCGCTAAATGGGTTCTATATATATTGTATCACTTATTCCTGAAATCGGATGTTAGTCATAGTGCCAAGCGCGTTGATGGCGCCGGGGAGGGGGTGTGCTTGGTTGGGTGGATGAGCCTGGATGGGAGATGGCCGCCCGATTTTTTTTGGTGTTTGGTTGGAGGGCAAGGTGGATGGGGCGGTCCAAAATAGGGAATATTCCCTCAATATGTTGGATGAGTACATCCGGCCGATTTGGCTGGATGAAGCCATCCAGTTTTGGTCTGGGTGATGTGTCCTATTCTGATTGGGTGTGGTTGGTTTGATTTTCTGTTAAGCAAGCTCCAAATGATTTTTTTCTCCTAAACCGTTTATCTAATTTATGATTTGATTACACCATTATATTTGTTACAATTGAATCTTTAAAACAAGATCTCGGATGATTATATTTTGATAAAAAAAAATATATATGACTGTTAACAACCAAATTTGGTAATATCTGTGTCAGGAAAGAGGATCTGATCAAAGTGGAGTCGGAGGCGGAGATCGAGTTTGGAAGCAGAGCAGGAATTGGCTGGAATCCAGATCGGCTACAGTTAGGATCGGCTGGATCTAAGTCGGGCTAAATAAGCCGATATAGGCGATTCCGACAATACAACTTGTACGCGACATCGGGTTCAAGTTAATGTATTTCAAGGTGATTGCCACGCACAGATAGAGTCCTAGGAAGGTAATTGTATCTATTAATTAGTATATCTTATGTAAATTCCTTATAGATAAATGTGGGCAAAAGTCTGCCGCAAAGACTTATAGTATCTTAGAGTTTGTTATAGATAATGGTCGTGTCCGGTATGGGCATATCTTGTAATTCTCGGGTATAAATAGACCCCGAGCCCTATGTAATTTTTTAACACACACGTTCAATACAATCTCGGCGCATCGCCACCCTTTTTTGCTTTAGTTTTGTTTTGACGAATTCTTGCTTTCGGGTTGAGCTGCATCGATTTCGATCTTCAACAAGAGGTAAAATTCGTTATGACGGATTGCGTTCTTAGGATTAGTGCTTCCATCTTTATGACACTCTAATCTTGTTTATGTAATTCGTCGAGTTATCATATGTCTTACATAATCTCTAGCAATATCGCCATCTAATCTACTATCGGCCAATATCTGTATGCAGAAGACAGCTGATTAGGTTAGATCTTGACGTTGATCTAGATTATATAACATATCTACCATTCTATGAAACTTCTAGCGGCTTGATTGTCTAAATATCACTCTTCTTTTCATACTTAATACTTCATCAGTTGAGTTTGATCTATTAAGTCGTGCTTAGAATATCGATCTCTAGCCTGCCTTCTAGTTGCCGATTAGAATAGCATTGGAGTTTCAGCCGATCGTATCTGATTTAACTATATTTGTTTTATATGCTTTACTGATATGTTAAATCTGCCCTTTATATCAAGATATTGTTGTATCTAAGTATGTTAGGCCTTTGATTGATATATTATACCTACTTTAATATCCTGATATAGAGTTGTATCGGAGTATTAGCCGATACATGCTAGATCTATCTGATCAGCTACGCTACAAACATATATAGTCTTGTTATTGATATATATTTCGATCTAGGTGATTTATATTGTCTCGGTATGGTGACCGATCTATCCCAATCATTTGATTTAAGTATATATCAACATAAGGAGTATATATCGTTAATATCTACAGCCGATCAAGTAGATTTAGTTCTTCTTCACTTATTCATGACTGCCGATCGATACACGGATGACATCGGCCCAAAGATAAATGATATGTCATCGGCATATAGCCGATCGGCTATCATTTATAGATTTAACCACGGTTTCTTTGCTTCTATTTCTTGTTGATTACAGGATCAAATCAACTGGCACGCTAATACATCCGAAGGCAAGCTTTTGACCTGCACTGGAGTTAAGCAGATCTCCCAGGCCACGTGTTTTCTGTCAACACGCTTTTGGCACGCCTGGTGGGACCTGATTAGAAGTCAGACGTCAGTTCTTCCTCATGGCCGATAAACAGCCACCACCACCATCAAGCCCAGGTTCCATTAAAGGCAAGGCATTGAAGCTGGGATTGACTGACATCATTGATGACAACGTCATGCCAATCGATCCAGAGAAATTCACGCCTGAGCAGAAGCAGGAGTTTGAAGCAACGCTGCAGCAAGCACGAGATCAGTTCCTGAACTCGTTCATGCAAACTCGCAAGGGGACACTTGTTCAGAAGTATAAAATAAAAGTGGTTGCTAATAATCCTGGGACCGGTTCTTCTAAAGATGGAGAGGTTAAACAAGCTCCAGGCGGCTCGGCTCAGCTGAGTGCTAAAGGTGCTACTGACGGCTCCCCAGGCGATCAAGGCAACAATCTGCAAGGAGTCCATGGAGTACAAGGTGATGGAGCGCATGGGGCTCAAGGTGATGGTGCTCAAGGACCACAAGGAGGAAATCTTAATCAGAACAATGAACTATCACATGATTTTTTCAATAATTTCCAAGATCGGGTCGATTACGCTGTGCATCATGCTTTGATCTATCAGTCAGGAGTGCTAGTCAACACATTGTCAAACATGATGAAGACGATAGCCGATGGCTCAATAGCTGAGCATCAGGCTACAGGCCCGGTTTATTTGCAAGGAGGTGTCTTCCCGAATTATCGATCTTTGACCACTGATGTTCAGCCATCTTCTCAGGCGGTGCCCTCTATTGCACCCACAACTCAGCCGACGGCACCAGCATCAACTCCCCTGCCTGGTACATCAGCTATGGCGCCAGGCCAGCCGATGAACCCTCGGTTGTTAATAAGGGAGCATCCACAGCCTACTGGGCAGATCGTGAATCAGCCAACCCAAGATCAAGTTGCTGCCATGTTTCTGCCACCTCCACCTATTGTTGATCCAGTGCAGCAGCAACCGATTCAGCAGACACCACCAATCCAGCCAATTGTACAGCCAATCCAACAACAGGTCGTACAATCAGCTCAGCAAACACCACCAAGGCAGCAGCCTCTGCAACCGATTCAGCAGACGCCACCAAGGCAGCGGCTTCAGCCGATCCAACAGACTCCGGTGAGACAGCAGATCATTCAGCCGATTCAGCACCCGGGGTCGGTAAATGCATCGGCCGGGTTCGCAGCACCTGGTGGGCAACCTGCGCAGCAATTTGTAAATCAAGTCGTCCCAGAGCATTTGGTTCACCATGCACAACCGGACGGCACTGTGGTGCCTCAGATGGTTCCTGAGCACTTGGTGCGCAACATCCAGCCGAATCTTCATAATTACCAAGGGGGTAACTTGAGCTATCAATATCAGCCTCCTTCCCCGCAAGCCCAATATCAGCCAAGAGGATTGGCTCAGCCCCAGTTCGGATCTCAGTTTGGTCAATTCGAGCCCATGCAACAACAGCCACAAGGAGTAGCTCAGCAACGACCATGGG